CTCGACGACTTCCTCAGCAAGAAGAAAGAGGTGGCGCAGGTCCTGGACCTGTCCAAGTCGATCGCACGCACCAAGGAGGACCTGAAAAAGCTCCTGGACAAAGTGCCCGAGTTCAAGAGTAAGGCGGAGAAGGTACGGCAAACGCCCACACCTCCACCCGTGCGAACAGTACCGCTGCATACAGTACGCCGAACATACTGTTTATGTCTACTCTGTCTCAGATCCGCGCGGACGACATCAAGATCCGCGACAAGGACTGGACGTTCAAGCCGACCAAGAAGGATCTGCGCCACGTCTCCGAGTACACGTTCGCCAACCCCGTGCCGGCCGACATGCGCCCCGTCAAGCTGGACGACCTCATCTCGGTGCCCATCGACTGGCGGATGCTGACCACGCTGCGGCCCAGGACCAAGATGGAGGAGGAGTTCTTCTCCAGGTGAGCCCCGCCCGTCTCTGCAGCGGGCGCCCCAGTCATTCGCCGTCAAGTACTTTAATTTTCCAGAAAAGTATTGTCAGCATATTTTTCTGTTTTAACTGCTAATCTTTTTCCCGAAAATTTCCATTTGTTTTCGATTTGTTTTTTCTGAAATCATATCATTTTTGTCAATTTTTTCACAATTTTTTTCAATTTTTCCAGCAAATATTTCTGATTTTAAAATATCTCTGTGCTTCTGCTTGTAAGGCTGATCGAGCTGGGCAAGCTGACGCGCGCCACGCTGCAGTTCGAGCGGCAGCGCGAGGGCCCGCGCAGCACGTACGCCGCCACGTCGTCGTCCTGGGTGAAGCGCTTCAAGTCGCGCAGCGGCGTGGTGGAGACCAAGGCGACCACGTGCTCGCAGTGCGGCGACGAGTTCTGCGACTCGACGGCCTGCAAGCTCTTCACGTACGACTGCTTCGTGCGCTCGAGCATGCTGCCCGGCGGGGCGGGCGGCGCCGGCGACAAGGGCGGTTCGGGTGGTGCGGCCGGTGCGGGCGACAAGGGCGCCGGCGGCAAGGACAAGGCCGGCCGCAAGAAGAGGCGCCGCGCCGGGGCCAAGAGCGCGAAAGGTGAGTCGAGCGGGCGAAACGTCGTGAACCGCGGAGGCAGCACACTGATCGTCATCTTTGTACACCAGCAGCGCCCTCCTCCCAGCCGGCCAGCAGGCGCGCCAGCCCCAGCAAGAAGACGCGGTCCGCGGGCGGCGGCGGCGGTGGAGGTGGCGGCGGCGGGCGCGCGCGCGCCGCGAGCGAGGACCGGAGGCGGGACGCGAGCCGCCACCGCAGCGCCAGCGCGCCGCCAGCGTCCAAGAGGGCGGCGTCTCGCGGCCACAGCAAGAGCGCCAAGAAGTAGTTGCAGCAGCAGTCAGGATGCCGTCCCGTCCGTAAAGCACGTCGTAGCAGTGTGTAGAGTAGTGTGGTCTAGTGCTGTACTCGCATTACTCCCGAAATAAAACTGCAAGCGTAGCCTCAGCCGCATTCAGTATCACTTCCCTGGATCGAGCCCTTTACCCCCCCCCCCCTCCCCCCCACAGAGCGCTGTAGTGCGTGTTGTCCTGCCGAAGAGCGCGTTCGGTTCGAGGCAACTCTCGCACCGTGCAGATAACTGCAACAACAGTTCGAACCGAGTCGGATTTCGTGGCTGCGCCAACAAACTGTCGGCCATTGCTTCTCTCTGCGCTCTGCAGCAAGCGGCTTACACCGCACCGCCGGACTGCCGCTGGGCGCGCGGCGCAACCAGGCTGCTGCTGCTGCTGATCACGGCGCCGCCGCTGGCGTGGCGAGATGACCGCGAGCGGGCGGGCTGAGCTAGGTGTGAGAAGGTGATCGTACACCGGCGCCGCGGCCGCCGC